ATGTATTGTTAATAGCATATCTATGATTTTTGTATTAAATAATATACTTTGTTCAATGCATTGTACTATGTGTGTGTACTATATATCTATGTATATATTTCATGTTATTTACTTACTTACTTATCAGTTAAGACTATGATTGGCACCCTAAGGAGCCTATTTCAAAATATAAAAAGACAAATCCACAACAACTTCAGCCATGGCATTTGCAACAACAACCATATTTATATGAACTATTGCTGACCACTCTAGTTTCGTACATACAACTTTGAGAACTTTCCACTGATTTGCCTATACCAGTGACTATCTTCGCTGAACAATTTTCGGCGTCAGTTATCCCACCACCGCCTCTTAAATTTTTTTTCTTACACACAGTCATGTTGGTCCGAAAAGGATCAAAACAATTAAATAATAAGAAAACAAAATAACTTTAGATAACACTCTTTCTTGATTTCTTTCCTGTCTATAAATAATACTTATAAAATTTATTTTATATAAACAAAACTAGAGATTATTGATTTTTTTTTATATGAATAAATATTTTGCAAGATTTTTATAAAATCAAAATTAAATATAGTTGTGTTTTCAGTCTTAAAGAATTATATAAAAAATAAGTGTTTGTTAGAATTGGTCGTCTTGGTTAGTGGCCTAGCACATACATATACATATATCGAGTCCTGGTCGCCAAAAAAAGCAAGTTAAATTTTTTTTTCGAATTTTTTTTTTTTTATTCAGAAATGCATCTAGATGCTCTGGGAAAAGTTTGAAAAATATGTCGCTTACGTTTTTTTGACGATTAAGGCTCGATATAATGGTCATAACATTTTTAGCAAATGCTAGTGGGACTCCTTCTCAATTCTTCGAAATTAAATCTATCTATCTATACTATAATAAAACTATAGTTTGTTTGTTTGTTTGTCTGTTTGAATTCACTAATCTCCGAAACTACTGAATAGATCTTCATAGTCAGTGACTTTGGACGTAACACAGGGTATAAAAAAATGAAATCTGACAAGGGGGCGTGGCACCTCTCAAAGACGTGTCTTTTTAAATCAGCTATAACTTCGAAACCGTAAGTCACATGACACTGAAATTTGGTGTGTTGACATACATATCTACGGTACTAGACTCTTATAGTAAAGCAGAGATATTTTTTTAAAAGGGGCGTGGCATATCCCACAGTTTTTATATACAAAAAAAAAGCCTTTTTTTTATTATAAATAATTAGGAAAAAGTGCGAAAAATTGTGTATTGTCATGGCTTTCGCCATTTTTTAACAATTTCTGATAAAAATGCGTAGCATATTCAATTGCCAAAGTTGTAGGGAACTTTTCTCCTTTAGTGATGGCTTCTCCGGCGGCACAAAATTTGTAAAATAAAATCTAATTTACGTGAGCAATATATACTTCAAAATTTTAAATAATAAATTAACTATCATCATGATATATTGGACATTTCGAATTGTCCTTCCACAAGGAGAAACCATGCTTCAGGACAATCTTCCCAAAAATTAGGCAACTTAATAAATTTTGATAAATTCGCACTCAAGTTATTTTCATTTGTAGAACCATTAGGTTGTACATTTTGTGAAGTGTGTATTGGGTTTTCATGTTGATTTTCTGTTGTTGTTGTGAAGTGGCGTGTACATATTGGTGATCTGTGCATTTTGAAATAAACTGGAGAACAAGTGTACAAAATAAATATAAGTAATAATTTAAATTAACACAAATAATATTTATGTCGATATTTATAGACGAAAAAAAAAATTAAAAGTTAAAATATATTAAAACAAAATGGATTATATTAATATAAAATTATTTATATTAGTTGTAGTTAATAATTCTAAATTACTTTAAAAAAAAATTTTGGTTTTAAAATTCAATTATATTTAAAATGGTATATTAATTCAAATTAATTTTGTCCTTTTTTGTTAAACAATTTGATTTTAAAAACAAATAAACAAAGTCGAAGAGTAACTTTTAAAACATTCACAAAAGCTGTATGAATAAACAAAAGACTTTAGATACGAACTTTTTTTTTTTTTTTTTTTTTTTTTCTTATTAGTTTATTTATTATTTTATTTTATTTTTATTTTTTAAATTGAAAAACAACCACAAATGTTTCTTCTTTCGTTGTTGTTGTTGTAGTAGCTGTAGGCCTGACTTTTGTTGTTGGGTCGTGGTGATAACTGCTGACTGGTGACTGGCACACAATGTCCCCTTTGTTTTAATGCTAGCTGGTTACTACTGTTGCTGAGTTGATGCACTCACTCGCCTTGTTGTTGTGCTGGTTTTTTTTTAAACTTATTCCTTCTCTATTTCGCAATCATTAAAGTTAATTTAAACGAATGTTGAGACCAAGATCTGCTTCCACTTAAACATTCTCGCGAAATTGGCAACCGAGCTGCTTGGCGTCTGTCGTCTCGCAAACAAGGATTTGGCGTTGAACGTCTGCGTGATAATTTTATCGACACTTATTGGCAGTCTGATGGGTAACTACCGCATTTAGTAAATGTGCAGTTTCATCGCAAGACGCGAATCAGTGCAACGTATTTATATGCCGATAACTAACCCGATGAAAGCTATACACCTTCACGCATTTCACTAAGAACCGGATCGAACTTCACCTCCTGGCAGGATCGCCAAGTATTTGAAGTATTTATTGCTCAATAGAAAATTTTATGTTTGTAGTTTGAAGACTTGAATTTTAATGATTTTAAAAACTTTTCATTTAGAAATTCCAATAAAATCTAAGAACAATTGAACAAATAAAAATTGTACAGGTACAAAATAATAAGACATATATACCCTACAGGGAGGTTTAAAAATACTGTAGCTATTTTTGACATCGGGGGATAAAACTCATAACATAAGGAAAAATGTCTGTAGAAAAAACGCAAATCTGAATTTTTGCTAATTTTTTAATGGATAACACAGCCCAACAAAAATATAAAAAAAAAATTTGGTACGGCAAATGTTAAAGCTGTTTTTGATAGATTTTTTTGTGTGCTGATTACGAATCCGTTTCCATCAGCTACAGATAAAAAAAAAAAAAACGTGGTCAAAGTGTCAAAGAATTGCAATTTTTGCAATTTTTTAGAAGCTTTGGCAAAGAAACAAAAGGTGATAGAACCTTCCTGGCTTAAATTAAAGCTAGATCTCTTAAATACTATCTCTGAAAAGAGATGTTAAATATTTGGGATCTTAAAATATTTTTTAAAGTTATTATTTTTAACTAAATGATGTCAAACTTGTATGCATACTTTCCTCCACAGGAAGGCTTAAACACCCAAAAAGCATCTGCGAAGTGGAGAATGGAAGCCGCCAAACGAACGAAAAAGCCGCCAAACTCGCTGCATCGCTTTATCAATAGTTCCGGACTAGTTCTAAATTCGATAAATAAGATTCAGTTCGTTCTGCATTCGTTTCTCTATACTTTTGAACCAGTTCTAAATTCGTCACCTTAGATATAGGTTTCTAATGGAAATAGTAAAATAAAATAGTTTTTTAAAAGTACCACAATTCGCTGATTTTGGACTGGTGGGGGATCTAATTATTATCGGACTTGTTCGTTTTTGGCGATAAAGATCTAGTTCGGTGCTAGAAATTTGATTCGATGGTCTGCGATTTCCCTGCAGGGTCGTTTGAAGTACGAAATCGCGTATCAAGAAAACACTCATATTTCAAAATGGTTCTCTTTTTTATAAAGCAATCGCATTTCTGGCTAGTATATTTCAGGACGAATGGATAAGGATTGAGCCAAGAGATTGTGTGAGCAAATCCAATTTTTGGCAGCAACGCGGTTTTGCAGTATGACGATACGCGGTTTTGTACTTTAAATGACGATATACATGTATTTCATAGTAGCACCTTTACAGGTTAAGCCACCAAAAAAGTGCTTATAAAAAAAGGATATGAATGAGCGATTTTATTTCGTTACATTTAAAAAAAAAATCGCTTTATTTATATTATTGTAATAGCGATTTGTCGGTTGTTTTGTTTGCTTGTTTTGATCATTTGCCAAACTTACCGGTTTTTAACGCATTGTTTATCATTTGTTTGGGCTTTACCGCTCCACATAACACAATCGCTGCATATTTATTGCATCATGCAATCAGCAGAAAACTATGTATGTATGTGTGACTTCAGTTAACATATGGTCATTGAGCTGCATTCTGATGCAATTTCATTGCTGCGTTTGAACTAAATTGAGTGATTTTCAGATTCGAAAATGCAATATTGGTGGTGGTGGCGGCGCTGGTGGCCGGTAGTGAAAAATAAATTCGATTTGAGCGCGCTGGTATGTATGTATGTATGCACATTAGGGTGGTCCAAAAATGCATGTAAAATGTAAAGTCGGAATTGTTATGCTCTCACCCGCTAGGATTGTTCTATACCAAAAAATTTAAAATTAGTAAATAGAAAAATATTGATTTTTAACTAATCTATACCATTTCTACGAAAAGTTGTTTTTCCCCTATATAAAATACATGGAAGACTTTGAGCGCTTTGAGCGACCTCTAAATATTTTTTGATTTCAAAATAGAAAAATTGGGGTATACTTTTCTTTCGATATTGAACAATCCTAGGGGGTGAGAGCATTACGATTCCTACTTTACTATTTTTGGACCACCTTAATGTACATAGGTGCTGAGCAGGGCGGTGGCTGACAGGCGTACAAATACACCAACACTGAAAACGCTCCAGTGCCATGGCACCATGGTATACATACATACATACGCACAGATGTATGAATTGCTAGTATCATTTCAGTTGTTGTTGCACCGGCTTATGCGCTGATAGTAGTCTTCTAACCGTCCGGCATTCTTCCTGTTACCGTTGATATGTCGTTTTCAGATGGTAACTGCTCTGCATATTTTGTTTTTACACATTCTTGTTGGACTTATTGTTGTTGCATTATTTTGTGGTGCCAGCAAGTCCGACCGATCTTTTGCTATAAAAGTTGGCTTACTTTCGTATTCGATATCAAAATCAAATCAACACTTCTTGAGTGTGCTACCGCAGTATAGCAAATCCTTTTCCTTCACTTCTCAAATCCTTCTTGGATCTAATCAACAAATATGAAGGTAATTCAAGGAGTTTCTTGCGGAATTCTAATTACATTGAGCCGTTGTGGTTTTGAAAAGTGTTAAACAAATAAAAAATTATGAAAATATTATGTTCGAGCGGTATTTGGAATACTTATAAATAAAAAAAATAAAAAAGTTGAATTCAATTTAAAAAAAATGTCTTATTTTGCTCACCAAAACTTCTATTCTTTCGCTCTTCCAGTTCGTCGTTGCCGTAGTCATGTTGGCTTTCGCCGTTGTTGGTGTACACTCATCCCTGTTGGGCGCTCAGATTTCACCTGGAGTTTCTTACGTGGCACCCCCATTACTCGGAGGACTTGGCCCATTGGGTATTCCCGGTCTGTTGGGTGGCATACCCGGCATCTCGCTCAGCCAGGGACCATTGGGCGGCGTGCACGGCGGTCTATTGGGTGGCATTCCCGGCATCTCGCTCAGTCAGGGACCATTGGGTGCTGCCATTGCTGGTCCTATCGCCTTGGGTGGTGGTCCAGGTGTTTATGTGGCAAAGACTCGTGGTGCTATCCATACCGCCCCACTGGAAGGACACATCAACTCGGCGACCTCTGTGAATTTGGCACCAGCTCCAGGCACCTTGTAAGCATCCCATACGGCATCACCTCATCGCTCCACCGAGAATACAACGATTCTATACACACCTATACGGATTTTAAATACAATCAAGAGAACAATTTGATGCAAATGTGTAAACTCTTTCTTATTGATATCGACATCCCGTTTTCATTATCCGCAACCTCTGATCAGACTAGTTGTTTTATAAAAAGCATATCTATGATTTTTACATTAAATAAATAATATGCATGTATTGTACACACGCATATATATTTCTTGTTATTTCTATATGTTGTAAAGGATTTTAAGCTACTTAAAATATTAAGTTTAACAAAATAAGGACGAATTTCTATTTATGAATTCTTAATCCTGAAATATGCTATTATTTGTCTGAATTAGATCAGACGATCAAATATAATCTCATCTCCTTCAACGTTGATTCGGCGTTCGGACTCTACTTATGATCAGATCAAGTTTTATAAGACGCTAATATCCTCCCTAGCGAAAGAATATCTGAAGATACTGCCTAAGTCTCCCTATCACTATTCACCACTTACTGTAACTATTGTCAGTTTATCCACTCAGTAATAATTGGCCTCTAAGAAAATGAACTGAGTCCCGAATATTATGCCAGTATCAAAAGGACGTTTGTTAAGTTCGTCGGCGACCTCGTTCCTAGTCAATCTCCGAGTGGTCGGCTACCATTGTTTTCTTACCGCTATTTGCCAAAATAAAGAGTAGAAAGACAATTTGTGGTATTTAAACAAAGCATTTTAGCGTTCGAGTTATTAAAGACTCATCATATATATAAAACAAACAATTATGAGAATTAAAGATGTAATAAATCAAATTCCTTTTCTTCTTCATCATAGCAGCGCTTGAAGATTAATAAACATTTCAAACTCCTACTGTTAATCCCCTCAGATATTTTGAAATTACACCATTGCTCTGAAAAAAAAACAACAACAAATTTCAAAAAGTTGGAGGTGATGGGAATCGGACCAACAGCATTTGATTAAGCTGGTCAAATAATGAAAAATTTAAAAAGAATTTGTAAAAGTTGGTTACCATTTCTTTTTTATATCAATTTATAATTTCGTATTTCCAGGTGTAATTTCTTGAAATTAAAAATATAAAAACATATTTTCCAAAGTTAATGGAGCTGGAAGAGGAGGGGATGATGTGAGGAGTTTATTATTTTTACTATATATATTATGTATGCATAGTAGACCGTTCGTTAAAAAAAGTGTGCCAATGGAAATGATATTTTAATCACGTTTACTAAATTTGGTATAACTTTTCTATTTTCAAATCGATTTGCAAAAGATTTGGATCTATATACTTTAAAATTAAATAAGCTTTAATATAGCATAAAAATAAGAACAAAAAGTTTGCAGCTTTTAGGTGTAATTCACAGTAGTATATCGTTGAGAATTAAAATTGTGTCTGATTTCAACCATAAATTCGCAGATAACTCTCACACTGATTTCTAAGGCCTTTAATCTGGTGGAGAGCTTTTTGAGGTGTGATCATCAGAACCGGATATTTTTGGAAAAAATTGAAAATGCTGTTTTCTCAATTTGAAAAAAAACAACGATAATTTCGAAAATTCTTAAAACCTATTCTATGTTTTTTTTTATTTTTGACCTCATATTCAGATTCTGTGAGTTCTTTTGCATAGCAAATGACTATAAAATTCAGGATTTTCAACTATTTTGTTAAAAACTTTTTTCCCTGATTGCATATGGTTTCCTAAATTTTCAAATGCAACGTACAAGTACTTAGGGTTATATTTTTATTTTTGTTGAATACATCCTTTTTCCCTACTTGACCCTCAAATGACCTCGAACCTCACGTGATGGGGGCTAACAGACCTCGGATTCGCATTCAGCGCGTCGAATAGCATAGGGATATAGAAGTTTGGTTCAATATGCAAAAAATTTTTTTGAAGTGAAACTTCTTACACGAGTTCCGAGATGGTTGCGTAAAATATTTAACACCAAGTCACAAAATCTGTATCGTTATATCTTTAGATCCATGAAAGGAGTTGCCACATGTTAGAAAATCGAATTCAAAATTTCTCTGCCGCAGATGTTTGCGTTAAGTATTTAAACCCAAGCCAGAAAATCTGTATCGCTCGTTCGATTTTGAAAAATGAGGTATCAAATGAAAGGGCTTGACTTTTTGACTTGGTTTCAGTTTTCTAAAGGGTTGCCATATATACGGAAATCAAATTCAAATCATTTATTAAGTTAAATGAATTACCCCAATATGGGTATCAAATGAAGTGGTTTTTAATAAACTGTTTTTTTTAGCTACATGTAGGAGGGTTGCCACCTGTTTCAAAAGTCAAGTAATGCAAAGACAAGAATATAAACCAAAACAAAGATAAAGATACAGATGAAGGTTAAAATGAAGATGAAGATGAAGATGAAGACGAAGATGAAGATGAAGATGAAGATGAAGATGAAGATGAAG